CTGCTTTTTTATAAGTTCTAAAAAACCAAATCATAATTCAGAAAGATAATAAGATTTGAAAATAATAGACTRATTATCTGGGAAGAAATAAATCATTTACTCTAAAGAAGAAAGATATGATTATGACGCCCCATCCTCTGAGATATTTGCAGTAAACAGCATCAATTATTTGAACAAATGTCACTGAGTATTAACGTCAGTGAAGTTAAAGAAGTTTGGAGCAGATCATGAACTAATATAAAACTTGAATTTCATTATTTAATTATCTTTTTTTATCTGCATGAGCAATGTTAAAACAAACGTGTTTTAAAYCATGTAAACAACTTTAACTTGAACCTTGCTTAGGTCAGTTTTACAGCRTTGTTTTCATTCTGAAAATGACATTTGTTTAAATAAATGGAATTGTGTAGTATTGTGCGTTTGACAGGAGTAAAAACTGATGACGGTGAGTGATAATGGGCTGCACTGCTGACAGGAAGGAGGTGTGAGAACTATATACAATCTTTGCGTCATTTCCTTGCACTAGTTCTGCACAGGTCATATTTTTTTGCCTAACATGAAAAATACAAATTGTGAGAGGGGCACTGATGTTTATTAAAGTTGACYGTGTCTTTTCTTTCCATACTTCCTCAGTAGCTCTAGATCTACCACAGGGTTTCTGCAGCTCCTCCTTCCAGAAGTGACAGCTACTGATTAAAGTGCTGCCGTGGCGACTTTGTGCTGTTGTCACTGAAGTGGCTTTACCTCCGTCTTTTAATTGCACGGTGCTTTGACAAGTTGATTGTTGTAGAGAGCTGCAGAGGCTGTTTTTGTTTTGTGGATGAGATCKGAGTTGTGCAATGCCTTCAGCGTGGAGTCAACTTGCGTAGCCTCTTTGTTTGGTAGCCACAGGCGATAGTTTCTCGTTTTAAATTTTTTTTAACCTTTTTTTTAAGTAGAAGAGGAAAAAAAGCTGAAAGCATGAAGTGGGATGTTAAAGAGTGGGAGGGAGAGACGCTGTGCARTGATCATAGAAGTGAAAATGTTTTTGGCAGTCATAGTTACAGACGTTACAGTACCCGTTTAGGGGTTTTGGGACATTGTTGTAAATTTGAGGGTCTAAAAACGCTTCCCCGCCCCCCCTAACAACAAGAAAACTGTCAAGTTGCTTATTTAAAAGTGAAAAATAATTCTCTAAGGCAAAATTTGCATGTATTGTAAATTTTAGTTGCCCTTTTTTGTTATAGGAGCCATTTGAGTATTGAGTAAAAAGTGGATTTGGGAGCTGTTTKCAAGGTCAATAAAGCTTTAAAAGGCTACACATAACATGAAAAACAACTGAACACAAGCTTTATCTACTGGGCTTCTTGACACAAATGTGCTGCTATTTCTTTTTCAAAATACCATATCTTAATGTTGAATATATTATTAATTATTGACAATATGAAACTCAGCATGAAGGAAACAGGAAATAGKTCTAGGGTTTGTGTCATAACACCTACATGCACTTAGCAATTTGAACAAAATACTGCCAGGAACAAATTGGATTGTGTGATTACAAGGAATTGTGACATGGCAAAACGCTTACTGAGCACTCCTGAAAACTAGGTAAATTGTGTTTTTTTTAAGGAGTTAAAAAAATGAAGAAAACAAGGGAGAAACAAGATTGATATTTCCAGTTTTCATAAAGATGTTTTTCACCAAGCAAGTTATCCTGCCTTGATAAATTGAGTTGAACACACACTCCTAAAACATACACACCTCTGGATTTAATTAAGCTTAAAGGTGAGAAGTGTCCACTGAGAAAAGCACTGCCTTGATATGATTCTACCTCCATTAAGCTGTGGATCTGCAGTTATTCTCGAAATAGTTGCATCCTGTTAACAAGAAAAATGTTATTTTGCATAAAGAAGATCTATAGAGATGGATAAAATTGGAATTCAGTTAAAGAGTTCAGCTGAAACCAGGATAAGGGATAGAAAGTAACAAAAATATTCATAGATGATATGTAAGAAAGAAAAATCAAGAGTAATCACTTGGARCATTTGGTAACAAAACAACAAAAAACACGAATAGTAGAACACTGAATTTCTAACAATTCCTCACTATTCCAGGTATTTAAATAATTTTCTCCCTTTCTATGATTTTCTCTACCAGTAATGTTGAAATACCCATGCTGTGCAACTAAATATCAAAATACTTTGATGACTGATGTAAGAACATGCTTAGCTTGACTAAAGATTCTGACAAAACTATTTTGTCATCTTGTTGTTTACGGTTTCCTCTCAATTAATAATTATAGATTTTAAGTTTATGATTACAATTACTTGAGAGTTTTTTTGAAAAAAACAAAAAGAATAGTATCCATTTTATAACCAAATATGTGTCTTTTTATTTAGCATCAGCTATTTTGTCATTGTACATCAAACTGTAACTATCTGTGGGTTTCGGCAACAGAATAGAACTTCAAAATAAATAAAAATGTCCACACAAATCCTTTTGTGACCAAAAGTCATCAAGTATCAAACTGAATTTGTCTTAAAGACATAGCTTACTGTTCTACCAAAACTGATTGATTGATTCATTTTTATGAATCAATTTTATGAAAAAAAAAATCCTTTCCTTTCCAGCATTATTTTTTTATTATGAAGAGATCCATCCAATTGGTCAAAAACACAAAGAGCTCCATTTGATTGGTGAGATATTTTGTCTGAGTGACAAACCCCATAAATAAAAACCTTTGAGACAATTTATTGCAGTTTATGCAGTTTGTTTTTTGCGATATGCACATTGCACAGGCTGTTATTACGATGACGATAAATTTTCGATATATTGTGTAGCCCTAGTAAACTTGGCTAAAGTAATAGTATTTCATCAAACACACAATGAAAAAACTGCTGAGCCTAAACTGCTGAGTGTCTTTTATGAAGTGGGCTTTTATTTTATTGAGGCTTCMCTTTGCTTCTGAGTGTAATGATCGGACTCTTGAGCAGTTTAAAAAGCTCTTTTGCACTGATGAGTTCAGATTTACTTGGTTTCACAGTTGGTGGGTACATCAGTGTAATCACCTGTAAAGCAATGTGTAAGTACAAGCCTGAGAGGCAGATTTACTTATCTTATTTACTTCAGTTGGTCATATTTTAGTTCAGTGGTTTTTCTGTACCCTCCCCTCAAAAAAGAGGTCATCTTGAATACTAATTATAAAAAATATATTGTACTTGCACCGATATTGTGATGTTCCATCAGTCTTCAGTTCTTTTAGGTCCTTTCTGTGATTAATTAACCATAACTCTCTTATGCAAACCCTGCTTTGTAAACAAAATAAAAAGAAGATATTTTCTGCAAAACATTTAGGGGAGAAAAAAAGACGTCCTTTGAACATAAACTGTAAAGTGTACACTAGTCAAATGCTTCAAAGATCTGGGACACGTTCTTTTTGTCCCACAAGTATTATAAGACGAAGCCTTGGCATCCTTATTACTACGGTCCTGCTTACTGGCTGTTGCTTAGTAACAGGAAGTCAGCATAGCTTCAGAGTGTAGGACATTTCATCGTGCTGCTCATGTTGGTGTCCTGTTTTAAATAAGAGTGCAAAGATGGAATTAAAGGAGTGGTTAGAGGAGGAAGTCTGTGTAAAGTTATGGCAGTGTGACGCAGCAGGTTTACTCTGCCCTATCTGAGACACAGCACATGTAATAAACCTTTCATTCATTCGAGCCGCTGCACAGCCTGGTTGGTCAACGCTGGCTGACATTTAAACAAGTGGMTGTGCTTTAATGGGATTAGAAACTGACTGTCAATGTAGCATCTTATTAATTCAGGCTCACAGTTGGACTGTAAATGATCACATCCTGGTTTTGCTATGTGTCATTTGATTAAATTTAATTTCCTCTTTAGTTTGTTCATCTTTTTCTGTTGTTGAATATGGAGAGCCCTTTCATTCAAAATTAAATAAATAAATAATGTGATTAATAAAGTAATAAATATTCCTTCAAATAAATAAATGTCCCTGTGAAATAAAACAAAATCAATAAAATTATAATACAGTTTTAGCA